CTATGTAATTGAAGTGAATTTTCTAACAAACAACATTTGATCACAAGACATTTAAATGTGAATTTCTTTCAAGTAAACTGGGGGGCAATCAGATTTCATCTCAAGTACCAAAAAATTGGAAGGAGAGTACAACTTAATTGAATTTGTTGAATAACTGAGAGTTGGAAAGGCTCTTTGTAAGTCTATGTGTTAACTATTGCTTATCAAGTTGATATCAAATATGAAATATTGTTCTTCAGCATTAATCAGATGTTTTTCACAAAGAAAGAGAGATCAGAAGTAATCAGTGAACTGAAAAAAAGGAGGTAAAACTGCTAGGACAGAAATCCTGGCTGAAGCAGTGCAACATTGACCACGTGAAGGTATGCAGCCCGAGACAGGCAGGTGATGAGGGGTCTCCCTTAGCCAGAATCTACCCAGGATTCATCTTAAGTATCGTAACATTTCCAAAGCAATTTTTAGTTTACACTGACGTGTGTCATCTTGAAGCAGTTATTTCACTCCCTTGAATGCCTGCCTTCCTCTTGCCAGTTCTCACAGATCAGACTAGGAGCTTTGCAGGACCAAACACTCTGTCCAAAGTAGAGCGACTATTAGAGAGTTCCTCTAGTTACTGCTTCTGCAGCTACTACTACATTTACCAAGATAAATAAAACTAGTAGTCTGAGTGTATCACAAATGGTATATCATAGTTTGGAACAATGGTGCATCATAATGGAAGTTTCAGAGCCCTGCAGAAGGAAGGGGCACTTAACAGGGAAATTTCTAAACCAAATGCCATGAATTGTGTGATGAGCTTCATCAAGATCGAAAAGGTTCAGAGGCATGCTTCAAAGAAATTTGGGAAGCAGTACAATATTTTGTATGATCACATACTGTGATGAGCAAGGTCCATGTTTTAATTCTCTTCCCCCTCTTTCCACTCTCCTGTTAAAACGAAAAAGAAAAAAGATGGAGAGAAGAAGAGAGAGGAAGAAAACCTCAATGCCAGAAAGTCCTTTTGAAGTATTTGTTCTCTTGATTAAGAGTTCTCAGTTTGGCAAGACCTTAATCAAGACACATCAAAGAGGGTTCAAAATAAAGAGCAGCTGAAGGAAAATTTATGAGATGACAGAAGGAATAAACAATAATAACTGTGCATATGTTTAAGTCATCTGAAAATGATTGCAACAATGTGTAAAATATCCGGAAATAGACATTAAAATGGCATTTTAATTTCCTAAGGGAAAAAAATCTTCTTAAATAACTCATGTTTAAACCAAACTACATCCATTCTCCCCTTTGCGTTATGACTTCAGGAGCTTTCCCGTCCTCTCTATTTGCTTATGTACAGTGTGGAAACCGCTACTGTTCCTGGTTAGGTTTTCTACCATAGCGGGTTTCTGGAGGTAAATATACTGGCAACATAGCCAAAACAATATCCTCCTCACCAGTTATAAACTCATATGGAAGCTTATATATGCCTTCCATTTGCTGGCATTTATTTCCCCCCAGTTGAAAAGGTCTTTTTCCAACAGAAGGTTGTGTGGAAAGTGTGATTAAAGGTATGAGGGAAATGATTCACACTTCACTGCCTGATAGCTTGAGGGTTGAAGAAAAGGCCAATAGGAACAGATGAAAAGGGAAATACAGGACAAAACTTGGGAATATAATAGGCAGCAGAAGGCAATACTACATTAATAACACAATAGCATCAGTTTTGGTTTGCATTTTTCAAATTCTCCCCATCCTCCTACCTGTGGAAATAATCTAAAACAATCTAACAATGAGGTATCTCTAACAATGTTACCACAGGTTTTAACTCAGGATCATATCTCAGCTTTGAAATAGCCCTATATCTTATATTCCATTTATTTTCTTTCAGTTGAAAACCTTGAAAATTAATTTGAAAGAGTACAACTCTTACAAAGCTATTCCCAATGGATGTTATTAAAAGTGAGCTAGTGCTCTGCAGTACAGTGACTTTGCACTGCCTGTATTTCCATTGTGACATTGTAAACACTTTTGAACAGCACCACCATAGTCATATTTTAACAAGGTGACAGAATAATAGCCTTTTCTCTGCTGAATTTTTTCAAGCATTCAAACTTTAGGAACCCTTGCAGTAAATGGTTTATAGCTAACAAGTGGAGATTAATTTCTGGCTCTGGTATTATCTGACAGACTATCATTATCAGTCACTAATGTCTTTCATGAAATGGATAAAAGGTCCAGGATATCATTCATGTGGCTCTTTTAAAATGCCCTGAGGTTTTCTGGTTTGTTTTGTTTTTGTTTTATCTCCATCTGAGTGTGACAAAATGTGGCAGACAGGAGGGCACAGCAGAATACTTCTGAATCATTTCACATATGTTGAACACAAGGTGTCTAAAGATAAAGCTGTGGAAATCAATGCATATATAGATGCTTTTGCCTTACCCTATGCCAGCTAGTGTAGCACACTCACTAGCATTGCAACTCTACACAGGCAGCCAAGTGCAGATTATTTGATCCTGTATTTACATTGCTGTAGTTTATAATGAAGCACACTGGATATATTTGAAAACATAAGATGAGGATTTTGATATGCGCTCAAACAAGCATATGTGTGGGATATAGCGCTGTCTGTATTAGTGTATGATGCCTGATAATGTACCATGTGCCTCCAAACTAAAATATACCTTCCTTACATCCTCATTTAGTCTCAAACAATGAGAAGTTCATGAAGCCATTGATGGGGTTCTATAGACTGGCTGAAATTAGATCATACCTTCAGCTCTCTCTCCCTTTACCCTCATATACCTAGCAATTTTTATAAAATGGAGGTGGGATCAGACATCTGTTGCCTCCAGTTATAAGCCATCTCTTTTCACTTATTCTATACTGCTAGAGGACTTTCAATCATCTCCAGTCCACAGCAAATTAGTTGGTGGCCTGAGACTAGCTGAAGGAGTGAAGAGTCCTAATTAAGTAGTCAGCTAATACCTTTTCTCATATTTCTGCATACCCACTAGAGATAAACCTAGTGATAAGTCGTAGGATAATGGGGCCTGCTTTTATTTGTTGTCTATTGCTATTTTATTATTATTAGACTGCCTGCTATACCATGAAAGTGTCCTGACCAGTAGCCCACTCTATAGATGGTCAACCACATATACCCCAGCAGACCAGGAATGCAGTCAAATGAAGAAGCATCTTCCCAGAGCTGGCTAATGGCCAAAACAACTACAGTTCAGTTAAAGCAGTACTGAATCCTATCTGTGAATCTATCCAGCCATGATCGCTAACTGGAACACCTTGGCACTAATTTTCTACTCAGTCTGCCACTCATCTACAAGTTCTGCAAAGTCCTGCAAAGTCCTGCTTCTACTTGCCATGTTCATAGGTATGCTCTTGACCCTTCTGAGATTCACAAAGCTCTTTTTCTAGTTTCTCCTCCACTCAGCCTTTCCTTTCTCCCTGCCCTGCAATACAGCCAGAGCCTCCCAGGAGTGTTTGAACATCTTTTGGATCAGTGTTTTTTCAGAGAAGTTTGGCCCCCTCTTTGTACTGCGAAGAGTGGGGATGTGTCTGTCTCAGCATGGTCTGCCAAGTCAAACTTTATCTGGGAGAAGATAGTTGGAAAAAGCAGTTTCTTGCTAAACACTACTCTAATTTCTAAAGTTGATCATATTGCTCCTACTGCCTTGAAACTGCAAAAGCCTAGTGTTTACCAATTACCTGTTTGCCCTAAACATATTTCACTCATGGCTGCAGTCTCTTCACCTCTGTTCCATCCTCTCCTGCCCTTCTCACTGCCTTCTCCCCACCTGGTGTATCCTCTTGTCCTCTGTGCCCACAGGATTTCCTTCTCGCTAGTTTATCACCCTTCCTAACCAAACCTCAGCCTCTCTGATACAGAAAAAAAAAACAAACCTAAAAAACCTCTCCAACCCCATTGCAGCACAGGGATTCCATCCTCCCTTTATGGCCATTCCAGTGTTATGCCCCTTCTTGCTCTGTCTGCCAACTCTGTACACGCAGGGCACAGCTGTGCAGGAACTTTCTTCTGGGAGAGGACTGCCACGTTAAGCCAGAATAACTACAGCAGCACAGTCAACCTACTGTAGCTGTGCTGGGGATTTCACCAGTTTCAACAAGCTCTTAGCTGGTAAGATCTTCAGGGCACGGCCTGTCTACTCTGTTTGTACATCATCTAGCACAGAGGAGCCCTCAGGCACTGTAGGACCAAAAGTAATTAGTATGGGTAATTCCTTTAGATATATCAGTATAGGGTATTAAAAACACATTTCCAAGTTTTTGAAAATCTAAAGGGAGGCAATTATTTAACAAAAGTCCTTCCCCTCTGGCTCAGCCTGTAAATACAATAGCTTCCATATTATTCTGTTAAAGAAAAAAATCTCTTCTTGCAAGATGTGTACATATGCTTAAGAGTAGTTTCCTTCCTTCTGTAGGTCTAGTCACATTCATAAAGCTAAAGATGGACGAATGTAGTATCCACAACTTCTGATACATATACATTTAAAGAGTGTATTAATATTCTCAGCACTGCAGCCAAATGTTAAGACCTACATGTTTATGTTAAATATTTGTCTTTACTGGCTGAGTTTTAATGAATGAATTCAAATACTAGGAGAGAAGTACGTATTTTTCTTGGAAACTGGAAAAGTATTTTGGAAACATTCTCACACCATTATAGTAGTCACAAAATGTATCTGGTAGGATGCCAAGGTATGAACAGTGTTACTGAATATAAAGTGATCATGAAGAAGGCTGGGCTTGTAGAGCTCAGAATGGTTTTGGAAGAAAAATTAACTTTTCAAGTCTGTATTATGTCAGAAAGCAATTCTTTCCTCAAAAATCGTGATTCTGAGAGTCAAGAGTCCAGTGCATGCAGCTATGAATACTAATGCTGGGTGAATAACTGTACACATAGCTAGTAAGTCTCACTGGACTCATCACGATGTTCTCCGTTTGTAATAGTAAATCAAATTCTTTGTCCAAAAAGAGTCACCACTTACCAATAAACGGTATCATATGATGTTCCTTAGCCACGTGGTATTGACTTCCGTTCACTAAATGGCTCACCTACCTTCAGGAGACACGCCCGAGAAAATCACTGCGCTTCAAATTCCACGATGAAAACCAGTGAGAAAGCATTTTAAGAAGAGAGTGTGAGAGACCAAGCTTATTCATGAAGAAATGTAAAGCACTTGAGATAATTTCGGACAAGTTCTACATCAAAAGTGCTGTATATTTGATCAAATGGTTATAGACATCAAATTTTTAAGCTGTCAGCTTCTCCTTCTCCCTGTTTACAGAAACAGAGGGAGACATTTTTCAGTTCTTCAGTATTTTACATTCAATTTTCTCTTCTTAAGTAAGCAACTCACCAGCCCTCTTCCTCTGGGACTTTTCCAGTCTCTTTTCCTCCCCTTTCTAACAAATGACCCATGGGAGAAGTATTTCTCTTGCCTAGGATTTGCTCCATAACAGTACACTTACATACATCAAGACTGTCTTCACATAACCAGCTCTGTGCAGAGAAGCTGCTGGAGTGCAGTGATGATCTTGGACCTGAAATACATTTAAAACATCTCCAGGTAAAAAGCAGTTTTGTCACTGACACGCGCTTTCCGTTGTGCAATATGTTTTCTATAAGGTTGACCAAAAGCAGGCCAAAACACTATGCAGCAATAAATAATTGGAGACATACTTCACCTGACACAGATTTTCAGCTGTTATACTCCTCATTATCTACAAACGAGCATTTTCATACCCATTTTCCAGATCCCAGAATCAGTCAGTCCCCCAGAAGCACAGATGTCCATTCAGCCTCCCTCTTCAACAGTGGCTTTAGCTGCTCAGCCAAAACCTCCGCTTGCTGACTTAGCAGATGTTCTTTTCTGAAGTTTTACTTTATCATACCAGGAGCATAAAAAACTCTAAATAGGATGCACAGCTTCAAAACAGACCCCAAATCACTATTTTTCTATAGATTAACCACTGAGAGTAAAATAATCCATAATGTCTCATTTTTTGAGAACTACCAGCTGTAACAAATCTGATGTGCTAATTAGATTAATATCAGAAATGTTATTTTGTTTTAAAGTATTTGTGAATATATGAGGATGCTCATTTAATGATCTGTGAAACAAAGGGGTTTTAAAGAAGTTACAATACCAATGCAAAATTGAAATACATAAACAGGAATACCAGTTAAAGTGCAACTCAAATCATGTAGTGGTTATGCAACAGAAAAGAAGCCAGGAAATGTCAGGATGGAAACTTATCCATTTGACATACCAGCTAGATAAATACGTCTTCAGAAGTGCGGTAAATTGGAAGTGGAATGTCTATGTTTAATAAACATAGTATTGAGCTAGAATTTAAAACTTTCATTTTCAAATTATTGTTGTAGAATGCACAAAAAAGTAACAGTCAGTGTGCTAACCCATGTTTGGGAGCAGTTCGGGTACTCTGAGACCAATGGTTTTCTCCCTAACTAATAAAGATCTCTGAAGTCAGGAAAAAACAAAAAACCCTGCTTGCAGGTAGGTCTACAGAAGGAATAAAACAGGGACTGGTGGATGATACTCAACTAATGGTGCTAAATTTGAAAACTCTCTCAGTGTTTACTGAAGGCTGACATACAGATGGACGTGTAGAAAAGACAGAACTGAAGCCCCAGGCAGTTGAGACACATTTTGCTACCTTTCTGCGGAATACTGTAAACCACGAGTTTATTCTGCCATTCCCAGATTAAGTACTCGGACTATCATGATATATGTTTACTAAAATAACTGAAATAATTAGTAAAATACTGTTGTGGTTTAACCCCATCTGGCAATTAAGCCCCACACAGCCACTCGCTCACTCCCTGCCTGGTGAGATGGAGGAGAAAATCATAAGAGTAAAAGCAAGAAAACTCATGGGATGAGATAAAGACAGTTTAATAGGCAAAGGAAAAGCTGTGTGTGCAAGCAAAGCAAAGCAAGGAATTTGTTCAGCTCTTCCCACTGGCAGGCAGGGGGGTTCAGCCACCTCCAGGAAAGCAGGGCTTCATCATGCATAACTGTTATTTGGGGAGACAAAACACCGTAACTCCAAATGTACACACACCCCCTCCCTCAGTTTTATATGCTGAGCATGATGTCATATGGTACGGACTATCCCTTTGGTCAGCGGGGGTCAGCTGTCCTGGCTGTGTCCCCTCCCAACTTCTTGTGCACCCCCACCCTACTCACTGGCAGGGTGGCGGTGTGAGGAGCAGAAAAGGCCTTGATGCTGTGTGAGCTTGGCTCAGCGATAGCTAAAACATCCCTAAATTATCAACACTGTTTCCAGCACAAATCCAAAATATAGCCCCATACTAGCTACTATGAAGAAAATTAACTCTATCCCAGCCAAGACTAGCACAGGTACATATCAGAGCAGTTTAGAAATTCAGTAAAACTATAGCAGCTGGGAACATGCAGTGCTCTTTTAAAAAACCTATCATTTGATATTTGCCATTGTACACAATGGCTTCCCCTTGCCATCTATTATTGTAGCACTCCCTCTATTATTAACTCCCACTGTTTCTGATTCATACAGGACTTTATTTCCTAGAAGATATCTCTTTTTTTCACTCTCTGAATGTCTTTTCCATTCCAAGTACATTCTGCAACTGTTCCCCGTCTCTGGCGTCATAGGGTTGTCCCCTTGAAAAGCTCTGTTTACTTCAATAACCTATTCTTTCTTTGCTTCCACCCTTCTTGAAATATCCACCAAAGTGTTAAGTTGCAAAATGAAACCTTCCCAATGACATTTCAAAGCCATTTAAATATATCCAAATATAATGCCATTTTTCTTTGCTTTAAAGTCTTTATTCAAACTAAGAAAAGAAAATTAAAAAAAAAAAAAGTTTAAAAAAACTCTGCCTCTCAGTTGTTTGTAAACAGTTTGTTTCTAAGAAGCGGATAACTGTGAATCTGCACTCTGTTCCACCTTTATTCATTAATTCCAGGCTGTGTCCCCATTGTTTCAACCACTTAAAATGGGAATATTTGGTTGAAGTGAAATTTAAATTGCTCACTTACATACATATTGTGTTCCCATGTATTACAAGTAGAATGAGAAGAAATCTTCACAAAGGTAAATAAAGGTGCTTCTGCCTTATTTCTGATAGTCCTAGAGAATGCTACTGGTGGGATTTTAAATGCCATGTATAGTGAGGTCTCAAGCCTTTCCCCATTCTCATTTCCACATTTTGAAGTATTCTGTAATCTTGTCTCATCCCTTTCAAAAGCTTTCTTCTATTAGGGAACTTCCTTGCTTGCATGGTGAATTTCACTGAAGTCCTGCAAAAAATACCCCTGGGTATTTAAGGGTAAATGAATTTCAGGGAACTAAGAGGAGACTGTTTCAATTTGACACCTTGTGGATCACTTACACTGAAGTGTGTAAGTTTATAAGAAGTTACAATTGATTCATCTCCTTATATATGCTAATTTACATTATTTTTAACCCAGATTTTTAAATCATTCATATGTAGTAGGTACATACTTTACACTTGGATGTAGTAGCAAATAAAACTGTAGTAGTCCTCGTAGTCAGGACTTCACATTCCATTGAATGCTGTGGAAGTTTTGCACTTTGTCTCATTACCTGCCTCTAAGTGGCACACATATACATGGATATGTGTATATGTATTATATGTATACATGGAAATACTGCAGACCGCATTGTGCATTTTATTCATAACAGCTTCATACAGATTACAGATCAGAAGCATGTTCGTCTTGACATAATCTCAGAAACAGAATTGTTCTTGTTGTTTCATTTTCTTGAAATTCTATAGGCAGAAAGCCCAACAAAGAATGTGATAATGGAAAAGGAAAGTTAGATTGGTTTTCACCTTAAGATAGTTCTGATCATAAATAGCTCTGTTAACCACCTAAAGCACTACGAAAGTTTTAAAATAACCTACAATGGAGACCATACACTGTGAAAAGACTGTATGCATATAAGCAATTGACTTCTTAACTGCATATAACACTATTGAAAGTCAATCAAGCATTCACCCATTTTCTGATAATGAGCAGCTGCTATCTGACAGACACCATTTCCTACATATGCTTTTGCTCAGGGCTAGTTTGAGAAAAGTTTGCTGAAGGCATGACTATTTTTGGCCCAGCAACACTTCTGTTGCTATGTGCTCTCAGATTACTGGGCAGATAGGCACACAATGAAGTCAAACAGCTGATCTGCAAAACTGAGAACACTGCGGTTTCCTCCACTGGTGCTTGTTTGTGTATAAATATGCACATGTGCACATACTATGGGTAATGAAAGGTTATTTTTCTCTAGAAATGCTTGTCAAAGAAAAAGGCCACATCCTGCATCCTGTTAAAATCCTCTGTTAAAATGCAGTCAGAACCCCTTAACAAACTCTGTGAAATCACTCTATAAAGTCATGCCTGTGACAGTTTGTACCTTCTGTTTCAATGAGTAATTTAAAGTTGATCTTAGGTAAGATAGAAAGGCCATGTGCCAGTGTTGCTGCAAACACTGCTTCTTTCAGTCAGTTGATAATGGCAATGTTGAGAGCCTTTGATCATTGCAGAGCTTGTGATGGTTGCAAATACAGTATCACTTTCAATACAGGTCAGATGAGGGATTCTTCCAAGGCCACTGGTAAAATCTAGCCACTGTCTTCTGTATAAGACTAGACTCAGTACCTTTCACTTCTCGCTTTCCCTTCAGCCATTGTACTGGGCACCTGGTGAAATACAAGCCAAGCTGTCTCTGCAGTTTAGTTAGAAGCAGCATCCAAACTTGAGCCCACATATTTTGTTAATGTAGCACACCCTTACGCAATGAAACTCACCAATAAGCATGGTGGCTCTTGAAAGGACGTTGTGATACATAGATGCATTGGCCTGTACCATCAATATGTAGATCTGCAGCTTTTACCACAGTAGGCAGTATAAGAATCTCCATAAGCAGTACACACAGAAATGACAAAAACGCTGTATTAGATGTTGATATAGGTTACTTTTCTTGACTGCATGCATGCCTTATGATTAATTTGCTGCTTTAGTTATACACACATCCTGTCTCAGTCAACAGCCACAGTTACAGAAATAAATGTTTTTGTGTTTTCACCTAATGCAAGGTTCCTGTGGGAGCAGGTGCCTCTGATCTCCATGTTGCACTCCCCAAAGATGCTTCTGAAGAGAGGGCAGGAAAACCATTGTTGGGAACACAGCCTGCAGTGCTTTTGGACAAGGGCTGATGGAGACAATCAACTCCGGCTTTCCCTTTTTTGTTCTGCTGGGATATTTGGAACAGCATGGGGTACCAATAAGATTGAAGTAGTTTTTCATAGTGTGTGGGTGAGTGCAAGTTGAGTGAAGACATGTCAGGAAAAAAAAAAAAAAAAAAAAAAAAAGTCTTAGTTCAGACTTGAAACAGGAGGGGAAATCCCTGAGAAGACAGAAAAGGAGAACCTGACATTTTCTTAGGACTCTACAACTGAGCTAATTCTCAGAAAGGTGCTATTCAAGTTGGAGAGTCAGAGCATTCGACACCAGTTGCAGAAGGTTACTGAGGGCAGTTGCATGACCTATATTTGTTTGCAAGTCCCTAACTACAGGAATCTTTTGGAAATTTGCTAATAAACCCTTGCACTTTTTTCCTTTCTCCTCCCCCCTTGCTCTTTCTAGATTTTAAAATCTTCTTCAGTGCTGTTCGTAGAAGTTAACAACGGAAGACAGCAATTCCACCCTACAAAAACCACCTTTCCTTTCTGCAGTGTTAAGTAAGCCCAGTGGGAGAAAGCAATTATCAGAGACTTGCTACTGCAGTAAGCAAATGTCAGTCAGTAGAAAAAGTTTAAATATTCTACAGTAGAAATCAAATCACCAGAAGCAAATGACCCTAAGGGAGGAAAATACCACTTTGATCTAATATACTCTTCAATGTCAGCCATATCCAAGTGTGATGAGAATTTGGTCTCTGACCATCTTTTTAGTATGTTTCAGTTAAAGATATGGGAATACCAGTCTACTCAGGTATGTGCTAAATAAAGACAACACTTAGATTTTAAAAAAATCCCAAAGAGATATATACATTTTATTTTAATGACTACACTTTGTATCAATTTTTGCATTGGTTGGTGCCAGGAAAACTAGTGATGGGATACAAAATATTACTGATAAAATGAATCTCTGAGGTGTTGGAAACACAGGAAGAATTTTGATATTATGTAAGAAATTCTGGATGACTGAGAAATGATACAGTACAAATGGAAAGTAATACAGTAATAGAAGCTGTGGCACTGGTGTACAGAGTCATCACCAGCCACCCACATAACCAGCTCTATCCTTTGGAGATAATCAGGCAAATGAAGCTGTAGGAAGCATTAAGCAAAATGGTGTTAGTTGGAACAGCAGTGGAGAAAAGCAATGCACCTGGATTTGAGAAGAGTTAGATCAGTGTATGAAAGGGATTACAAGATACGGTTGCCTGCAATAGCAGGGGCTTGTGTGCCAGGAAGCCTGGATCTGTTTGTGGAAATCAAAGTAAAAACAAGATCAAGACGACAAGTGCTACTCAAGTTACTGAAAATACACCTTGCAGCAATATGTGAATTATGTTTGCAGTAGCCTGAAAACTATTATTTGTTCAGCTTTTTCATGAAATCAGGAAGCAACGACTCAGAGTCTTTTTTTTTTTTATCTGTATACAGCAGCTTTGCTTCATTTTCTGTAATCACTGAGAAGTTTTACCAGCAATGAATTAGGTTTAGAAACAGGGAGAAAAAAAGATATTTGCTCGCTCTGATAATAACTAGGTAAAGCAAAAACGGATACTTGTGAGATAAGGTGGTAAAAGGATCACTGACAGGCCTGAAATTATCTAGAAGTAGTGGGTACTGGCAAGGCAAACATAACTCATTTACTGCAAAGCTGTGCACTTCTTGCCATGATCTGGTGATAAGTCAATGTTATCGCAGTAGGTCTGTGTGGCATCTGCTGCAGAGGGGTGTACCACTCTTCAGAGTAAGCGCTGCCTGGCAATATACAGTCAAGTCTTGTGACATATCCTCAAAAGAGATATACCAATTACCTTAATGGAAAGAAAGCTGTTTGCATACATGATTGAACTTTCATGCTGTCTGTATAAAGGGCCTGGGGAGTGCGAAATGATTCATGGGTAGCTCCTTTTTAGAAGACTGCTGAATAAGTTATTAGACAGGCAACTGCTCTCACACCAGTATATTGGGCTGAGGGAATGGGTAAACACAGAATGAAAGAAAGAAAGAATGAAAGAATAAAGTGTGCGAGAGAGCAGTTGCTTGTACAATACTGTCCTGCTTCCAGGCAAATACACTTTCTAGTGTCCTAAATATCTTCCTGTTGTAACAGACTGAGGGCTGTACTGAACTTTTAAGGCCTTCCTTAGTTGCTAAGTTATGCCGAGACCACAGTGCAACTATTCAAAAAAGATATTTCATTATTTTGTTACTAGACTGCTTAGCATCTCAGTAACAGAAAGAAACAAAAAGCCCCAAAGATGAAGCACAAATTAGAGCTGTTAATCTTTGAAAGCACTGATTTTTCTGAATATTCTGGGACAGACATCTTTCTCCCTGATACTAGCAAAGATTGGTTCTTAGAAGAGTCACTCTTGTATAAATGAGAAGTATTTGTTTTCTTTAAATGAGCATTCTTTTTTCATAACCATATCAATCTCAGACACATGGAATTAGCTGGCATTTGTTCATTCTTGAGGATTTGCCTCTCCTAGCAAAGATATTCCTGCCCAAGATTACTGACATAGCCAGCTATGTGGCCATTCAAAAGCACACAAGGATTTGTGTAGGGAAAGGGGAGATACTGGTACACTGAAGTGCCTGTGGGCAGTTGGGAGATTACATCCATTTAAAAGGACTATGACTGCAGCAAAAAGAGATCTTTTCTTCAGCAGTTTTGTTCAAACCACAAAACAGAATGGGCTACTTAATAATTTATTTTAAATTAAATAGTCTGACTCATACTTGCACTATATCAGAACTGGTTTGATTTAAATGTGGTCTTTCTCATAGTCCTTAGATGCCTACTCCAGGAAAAGCAGCAATAGCACAAGGGAAATTATTTCTCAGTTCCACCATTTCCTGTCAGTCTCCATCAACATGAAATCAAAATTATCATTCAGCATAAGGTAATATGAAAATACGGTCACTGAAAGTGGACTAAATGGTGCTTTCAACATGGAGGATGATTCTGCTTTGATCATATCTGCAGTTGTCAGTTAATAGCTACCTAACAGAAAAACACACAGATTTCTCTCTCCCTCCAAAGTTCTTTCTTTCAGTATTTGTTTTACTGAAGCCTAATCAAGTTATAAACACCAGATCAGAGCTCCTTTTAATTACCGCCTCAGAACATGACTGCAGTGGATCAGCAAAAGTTTAAAATTTTTTAAAATTTTTGTTTTCAAGCTTATTTGTGGCATGAGAGGGAGATAGGATATGAAATTGCAATCTGATTGAATTTCACCGTGAGAACATTTGCAAGGCTATTCAAATAATAAAAACCTCCTCATTCAATTCGCTAAGCACAGTATGAGTCTCATCACTGTAACATGGGATATATAGCCCTGCAACTATTTCCCTCGGTAGATACATGTTAAATGTATCTATCTACCGACCTCATAAGACTTGTCAGGCTCACAGCTGAGTGCTCTGGTCATCACCTCACTTTTTGGGGTGAAACAAGAATCCAGGTACCCTAAAAGGAAACAGAGACTGGAAAGCAATACAAAGGGATGAAATAGAATGTATCTCAGTGATAAAAATGTAGCCATAATAATTTTATTCAGTAGTAATTTCTTTTGTCCCTCAAAGGTCTGTATCATATATTTAATATCTTCACAACAACAATAGACAGTGGGATTGAGCGCACCTTCAGCACATTTGCAGATGACACCAAGCCGAGTGGTGCACCTGATTCATTGGACGAAAAGTATGCCATCGAGAAGCACCTTGATGGGCTTGAGGAATGGGCCCGTGCAAACCTCATGAGGTTCAACAAGGCCATGTTCAAGGTCCTGCACCTGGGACAGGCAAGGGGATGAATGGATTGAGAGCAGCCCTGTGGAGACGGATTTGGGAGTAACGGTGGATGAAATATTGGACATGAGCCAACAATGTGTGTTTTCAGCCCAGAAATCCAACTGTATCCTGGGCTGCATAAAAAGAAGAGTGGCCAGCAGGAAAAGGGATGTGATTCTGCCCCTCTACTCTGCTCTCATGAGACCCCACCTGGAGTAATCCATCCTGCTCTGGGATCCCCAGTACAAGAAATTCATGGGCCTGCTCAAGCAGGTCCAGGTCCAGATGAGGGCCACAAATATGATCAGAGGGATGGAGCACCTCTCCTGCGAAGAAAAGCTGAGAAAGATGGGGCTGTTCAGCCTGAAGAGAACACTCTGGGGAGACCTTATTGCAGCCTTTCAATAGGTAAAGGGGGCTTATAAGAAAGACAGAAAGACTTTTTACCAATGCCTGTAGTGACAGAACAAGGGGCAACAGTCTTAAACTGAAAAAGGATAGATTTAGATCAGACATAAGAAATACATTTTTTAATTATAAGGGTGGTGAGATACTGGAACAGGTTGCTTAGAGTAGCTGTGGATGATCCATCATTGCAAGTGTTCAAGGTCAGGTTGGATGGGGCTCTGAGCAACCTGATCTACTGAAAGATGTCCCTGCCCATGGAAAGGGGGTTGGCACTAGATGACCTTTAAAGATCCCTTCCAACATTCTGGGATTCTATGATTCTTTTAGTACAAATCATTTTAGGTTCTCAGTCCCTGGTGTGACACTTTAGAGACAGGCTGCTATATCTGATTAAGCATCCCACAAGAAGGAATTCCTCACCAAATAGCACACTAGAAATTTTTCAAAGATTGCTAGTGAAATTCAGTTCAGCTGTGTACCCAGTCATGCCTGAACAAGACTTCCAGTCATTATATTTCATTTATTATATTTCTTAATTTCCCTATATCTATGTTA